CAAGATTTAGACGTAGTGAGAGAATCTACAATTAGCAGTATTCCAACCTTAGTAGCGATCTTGGAGATACCAATCGGAGTCCAGCAACAAAGAGGCAAATCCATAATTTTGAACCAGATAGGGACATAATTGAAATCTTCCCTTTTGAGGCTGAAATGGGGGTGCAATTTTTGGAAAACAAAAGGTTTTCCAGGAATGAACCAAACACCTTTGTTCCAAACGAGGTCATAATCTTCTTTGGTAGTAAATTTGAAAAGAAAAAACCATCATTTAGAGAGATGAGCTTGAGGGTGCCTTTGAGCTTCCATGATTTGCGTACCGCATTTAGAAGAGTTTTGTAGAAAGGCCGCCTACCAAGAGAATAGCCGACGAGAGCCAAATTCCATTCTTCAGAGGCAGCAGCAACATCTGCACTAGGGAAAGGGATAGTTTCTTCAGGAAAAGGGAAGCTCGAGATGTTAAAGTCGCGGGTTAGAGGTACCCGTTAGAATACGGTCCCAAGAAGTAGGATGAGAGGTGTTGGTAGAAGAGGGAGGAGCTGTGGAGGTAGGGAAAGTTGAAAAAGCTGAGTCAAAGGTGGAGTTCCCTCCAGCGGTGTGGGTGAAGTAGCCAAAATCGCATGAAAACCTAACCCTAGCAGAGCTCGAGCTACACGGGATATTTTTTACCTAGAGAAGGTTTTCTGCTGTCGGAAATTGGTTCAAGACGTAAAGTTGGACGTTGTTTGTCTTTTAGAAAATCGTATTATAAAGGCTAATCTGGAAGACCCTTGGTTTTTCTCTACTCACAGGGTCTTTGAGAATGAGAATAGTCATAATAATTTTGACCTTACTAGCCCAGGTCGTACCTGGATCAAATGGAACTTGAATAATATCTCCTTCACTCACACTTTTTCTTCAACTCAAATGATCACTTGTATTATTCAAGCTGGTACTCACTCTCCTATCCTTTTGACAGCAGTTTATGCATCCAACTCCTTTGAGCATTTCACCCTTTAGGAGGACATCAAATCTGTGAAACCTAAAAACTCTATGCCTTGGACGATTATGGTAGACTTCAACTGCTGTTGTTTTCAATCTGAAAAAGCCGGAGGCAATGACATCCCTCCTTCAAGACTTAGGCCTTTAACTCCCTCATTTTTTATTCTCATTTGATGGAGCTTCCTTCTACTGGTAATTTTTTCACTTGGTATAACCATAGATCTAATAATCCCATTCATCTAAGGCTTGACCGTGTGCTTGTTAATGAAAAATGGCTTATCGAGTTTCCAAACTCCTACAAGGTGGTTAATAGCTTGATTTCCGATCATTCTCCTCTTATTCTCAAAGAAGCCAATGACTTCAAGAGTTCCATAAGGTTTATGTATAAAAATTATTGGGGCAATCTTCCTGAGTTTTGGGATATCTTAATCTCTACCTTTGCTAGCCCTCCTCAAGGCAACCCCATCTGTTGCCTTTACAACCATTTAAAGAAGCTCAAAGCATTGATTAAACAGAATGATTGGAGATATACCAATCATATTGTGGCTATGCGTGATAAGTTGGTCTCTCATCAAAACATTTGTCAAAGCCTTCTGGACAAGGATCCTCTTAACAGTGAGCTTTGCAATCAATATCTGAAAACCAGTAAGGAATTAGATTTTTACAATTCTATCTTGGCTTCATTGGCTATCCAATGGGAAAAAGTGAAATGGTTAACCAATGGGGAGGAGGATCTCAAATTTCTTTACTCCAAGATCAATCAAAGGAAATGTTGCAACAAAAACACCCTCTCTGTCTCTCTTGTGGCTTCTGATCAATCTAGCTCAACTGATATTCAGAATATTATTGCTCATTTTCAAGTCTTATTTAACAATCTTGGTCCAGCTTCTATTGACATTATGGCCTTCCCTATTGGAAACATCATTCAACCTCAAGACTCCTTAGACCTCACTAAACCTGTTTCCAATGAAGAGATAAAAAAGATTGTCTTCTCTGGTTGCTCTACTTCCTCACTAGGCCCCGATGCTTTCAATTTTGACTTCTACAAAAGAACCTGGAATATTACCGGTAATCTTGTTTGAAAAGCTGTTAGATCATTTTTACCAAATGCTACATTCCCAAATGTGCAAAAGCAAATGCCATTGCTCTTGTCCCCAAGAAGCCGCATGTTGAGAGCATTCAAGATTTTCGGCCTATATCTCTTTGCAATGCTTTTTACAAAATCATAGCCAAAGTGCTTGCGAATCGTATGAAACCTCTTATGGTGAGTATTATTCACAAAAGTCAGGCTGCCTTCATATCACATAGACTCTCTACTAATAACAAGTTCCTTGCTGCGGAATTGTTAAGCCACTTCAAGAAAAGCAAGAAGAGGAAGTTTGTCTGTGCTAAATTTGACATCACAAAGGCTTTTGACTCTGTGTCTAGGGATTTTCTTTATGATAGAATGGCTCAAAAAGGTTTTCCACCCATGTTCATTAACTGGATCAATCTTGTACAAAAGAGGTCAATTTTTCTATTTGTATTAACGGGGCTCTTGAGAGGTTCTTCCCTTCTACATCTGGTATTAGGCAAGGTTGTCCATTGAGTCCGTACCTATTTTGCATCATTATGGATGCCTTATCCTGCCTAATTTACTCCAACTCTATGGCTGGCACTTTTAAAGGGTTTTCTTGGGAGGACTTCCAATTATACCACCTCTGCTATGCGGATGACTTGCACATCTTTAGTAAAGCTGATAAATATAATTATGAATCTCTTATGAATATTCTCAAGGTTTTTTTTAATAATTCTGGTCTACAACTCAATCTTCATAAGAGTTCCGTAATCATCTCCTCCAGTTCTCCCAACCCTAATGAGATAGCATCTTCTCTCCAAATTCCTAGCACTTCTACCAAAAGTTCTTACCTTGGCCTACCTATTTCCATAGGTAGAACTAAGGTGTCGGACTTCACTCCTTTGGTTGATAAAATTACTAATCTTCTTTCGGGTTGGAAGGCATCTCTGCTTTCTTTTGCAGGTAGAACTCAATACATTAAATTTACCATTGCAAATACGGTGGCATATGTATTTGTGGCATGATTATACCTAAAACCACTATCAAAGCTATTGGGAAGCTTTGCTCTAAATTTCTATATTTTGGTCACAACAGTTATAAGAGGCTTCATCTCATCTCTTGGGCTAACACTTGCAAGCCCTTATCCAAAGGAGGTCTGGGTATTCCTTCTCTTCAGGCGACTAGATATGCGATTAATTGCGAAATTATTTATAGATGTTACAACATTGTTTCCCCTCTCTCCAAATGGATCAAAGCTAGATATCATTCTCCTTGGAAACCCATTCACCAGGCTAATACTCCCTTTTGGAAATCTATATGTTCCACTGCCTTATTGGCCAAAAAGAATTTTATTTTCCATATTAACACTTCAAGTTCCATATCTATCAGATGGAATCATTGGTGTACTGGTGAAACTCTTACAGAAAAGTTTTTTGCCCACTCTCATCCCAGCTTGGGCAGCAATAATGCTAGACTTGGAGACTATATAATTAATAATGCTTAGTTTATTCCAGAATTTGTTAGACAAAATATTAGAGATTATGCTGCCTCTATAGCTATCTCATCTACCTCCAATATTCATATAAGCTGGAATACCTTAGACTATCTGATCTTTAAGCACTACTATGCGGATTTTTTCGCTGGGGATGTTAATGTGGATTGGGAGCCCTTTATTTGGCACAAAAAGCACTCTTTAAGGTATTCGGTATACACTTGGATGGCATTGAGGGGAGGTCTGAAAACTGTTGACGTACTTTTGAAGAGAAATATACATATTCTAGATAAGAAATGTGTTCTATGTCTTGGACCCTATGAGACGTTATCTCATGTGTTGTTTGAATGTGACTATTCCTTTTATGTTCTCAAAAGGATCATTCCTCTCTTCCAAACTTTTGTACTTAGGCCTAATGTGTTACAAGCTATCTGTCACCTAGGGGGTTTGTCCATGGCTTGCAACTTAAAACGTGCTCTACTCCTTTCCCTCAATGCAACCGTGCATCACCTTTGGATTGAGAGGAACAATAGAAAGTTTAACTTTGCCGCTCTCAGCTCAAGCTCTCTTGTTAAGAAGATTCTTAGAGTCATTACTCTTAAAATTAGTAAGTGGAAAAAATGTTGGCAATTTGGTGCAACAGCTACTGACCTCGTTTACATGATTTTTGTCCTGGTTGTGTTCTCTGTTCTGCTATTTTGAGGTGATCTCGTTCCTGCTACCTAGTAGCGGGATTCTGTATCTTCAATGGGTATCCTTCTCTGCAGCCACTGTTGTCTTCTGAATTGTTGCCTTCCAAAACTTTTACTTGCGGACAACTATTTTTTGTGTCTGGTCAATGATGATGCCAGCTTGCCTTCCTTTGGACGGTCTTTTTGGGGCAACCAAGGAAGTGATTGATCCGTGCTTCATGAAAATTTATGTAATCTGAGCCTAGGCTGATAGGTTTTCTACCTGTCTTTTAGTTCCTTGGGGCTGTTTATTTTTTCTCAGCCTTTCTTTTGCTTTTCTCTCTTGAGTTTTTTTTTTTTTTTACTTTCTTTGTTACAGGTTTTTTGTTTTTTATACCAGTACACTTGTTTTTCTTTGATTATCAATAGACCGGGCTAAGCCCAAAATTTCTCCCAAAAAAAAGATTGTGATCGCCAACCGTGAAGCTTCCCTCTTTAATGTAGAAAGCAACGAGACGCATGTATACTAAACCGGCAGTGCAAAATGAAGGGACAAAAACAAGGGGACAGAACAGCCCATGTCTAACATATTCAAGAAAGAAACAACAAACGAGTTTTGTGCTGGTTGGTGTGGCGGAATTAAGTAACAATGGGAAAAGCGTACATTTCGTTTTACAAAGTGCTGCATATAAGGTACAGCTTACAGAACAAATTAGCACACCACAGCTTGCTGCAGAAAGTAAGCAAAATCTTGAGTTACTGTAATGGATGCAAGTGTCAACAAAATAGTTGCAGAAGATAATAGAAATACATATTCGATTCTCGGAAATCTAAACCAGTTTAGAGTATATGTTTGCTCTTGACTAACCATTGGTTTCTAATAGATAACTGAGACAAACTTTCTCCTAGTCAGATGCATGGGCGATATCAGCATCTTACCGTAAGGATATCTACTGCTACATGCGAGAGGTCCAGAAATTGGCATGTAGAAATGAACGTTCATTTCGTTTAAACACAGGCTACAAACAGTGAGAATTGGTTTTTCTATGCGCCTTCCAATTTCGTAAGTTCACGTTGGTGAAACTGTTCATTGTAAAGCATGCCATAAGGAGATGTAAGCCGCTGCAATGCCATAGAAAATCGGCCCTGGAGTAAAAAAGAAACATCAGCATTTATCGGACACTAACGAATTATTAACCGAGTCAACAAAAAATGATGGAAAGGGAGAAAAACCGTCTTAAATATCAAATATGATTTACCCATTGGAATATTGCGAGACCCCACCAACAGCCTGGTAAACCAAAGCCTCGACTGGATGCAAGCTGGTGAGAAAATAATGATTTAATTGAGCAACAAAATACTAGGATCCATTAGCAAGAGTATAATGCCAAAAAGTAAGAAATCATGAATGCTAGAATATTGTGGCAATAAGTACTTAAGAATTTTATATAGTCGAGAACATGAACATAGGAACATATCTGTATCAAGAGTTTGGAAATGAAAAGCCAATTCCTAGGCTATACGTTGACCAAAAACTATCTGTAATTTAATACTGCATATCAATCCAAAACAATATCAATTCAATTCCCTATTATCTAACTGATGCAGGGAAACTTAAGTAATTTAGCTTTTGAAATATGTGATTTTATAGAGCAACCAAAAACAATCAAACTAGGATACAAAGGACTTGAACTAGACCGACTTTTAGGTTTTCTTAAAACCATATTTATTTATGGCCAAAATTTTATATTATTTAATTTTATCAGGCTCAATTATGGTTTTTAGATAATATTAGATTTATTTGATCAATTTGGCAACAACTTCAAAGCCCTTATCAAATATTAAATTTGATTTTCAAGTAAGAATCAATCAATCTATAGATTCTTTCATCAATTATCAATCCTGGTGTGGGCCGCCCACTGTTTGTTTTTTCTTCGGGGCAATTTTAACAGATTTAAGTTCCGGGGTAAATTATGAAAGGCAGATGGATTTATAGATAAGACACTAAGCTGAGCTTTCGCCCTCATTTTGCGAGGACTTTATGATCCGAGTTCTAGTTTCCTATAGGCGAAAGCCCCTATAGTTAATTACCCCTCTCGATCACGAGAGAGAACTGTCAATTAAGGCTAGTCGTCAATCAGATACATATCATCAGGCGTATAGTAGCAGAATTTGATGTCACTAAGGAACGTATTGGCTCTGGCCATATCTGGTATTTCATGGTGCCATTTGGCGGCAAAATCACTCAGTTCAGATAGCCCCGGGTCATAACCATTTATCCTGCAGTGCCATTTGGCGACAAAATCGCCGGTTTGAGGACACATATCACGTCCTTACTAGCATGAGATTGTTTGAGAATGAATCTTAGTGATATTTTCAAACAGACATTTAGCTCTATATGAGCTAAATTTATATTTGAATTTATCCACCTCAGAAAACTGTTACGGATGGTGAATGGATTTCAAGTGTTGATGAATTTATTTCAATTTTAGATATTTTGGATTTTGGGATTTCTGGAATTTTCGATTCTTGGGAGCTTTGAATTTTGTGGATATTTGCATGGAGCTTGAAAATTTTGGAATTAACCACTCTGATTGAAATCTTCGTTCAACACGGTCATCATTGGGGTGTTTTTAAAGTCACTTGAAAGTTTGACGGCATTTGAAATGGTTGGAGTTAACTCCTCCGATTGAGATGTTTATTCAACATGGCCATCATCAGGGTGTTAATGAGCATTTGGGGATTTCATTGATTGGACCCTGTCGACCCCTTCTACTGCTCGACAGAGGATTAGGTCCCTAGGTTTTGTGGTTTTGCTAATGAATTTTCTTTGTTGAAGGTCTTGAAGGCCTTATATAAACGTATAAAATAGATATTCCAGTCAATATCCTGACTGTATATTAATTTGATAGTTCGAGCCTAGTGAACTTCTATCTACCTGTATAGAAGGATCGGGCTCGAACTACGTTCATTTATGAACCCGTGCAGCATCCTTAAACATTATGTTTGTATCCAAAATACGCTCGCTGGGGCCCATGCGGGTTTTATGATTGCATTTCCCCCCTTTTGTGTACCTATGTGCATACATATTATTGTACATGTGCGTGGGGTATTTTGAAACATTTATAAATGTCTTCTATCCGCTTGCATGAATGTTGCGGATCCGATGGCGAAAATATTTGAATGTCATGAGGCACCTCATCATCTTGATGTTGACTTCTCTCTTCTAGTTCACCGGGAGGTCTTTCTTGAAATTCGTGACCGCTGCTTTGAGAATAACTCTTTTCAAGATCTACAATGTATCAGACTTCTACAAGATATAATATCCATAACCAAATAATTGACCTTCAATATGAATAGAGGCATCTGGGCGCACTAGTCATTTTCAGTGTTAGAACACCAGAAAGTTTAGTTTGAATTTGTTCAAACATCTCTTCCATTCTCGTGGGAGATACTTACAATATACTCATTGTTGTTATCCACAAGTGGCTCGTGTTTATTTACAGGGACCCATTGTATTCACTACGACCTCATGGAACTATTTGTAGAAAAGTCATTGTTTCTGCATTATATCCACCTTTCATCAATCTCAGGTGCTATGATGATTATACTTGTTTATAGAGACGGGTCTTCCACTATCAATTGTCAGTGTTGCTTTTTTCGATCAACAGGCATTGTTTCTTGTGTTGGAGACCCCAATAACGCATATAGGACACACATATGCATTCTGCAACCATATGTTGTCCTTGCAAGTACAGTGCATTTGACCTCTACATCATGTCCGCCTTTGTCATTCACAACTTATTTGCGGCGATGGATCCTCCACTATCGATTTCTAATGTCGCCTTCTTCAATGAACACGCGAATTATTGTTTGCATTTAGGTTTTCAATAATGCATATAGGGGACACCTATGTATTCTGTAACTATTTGTTGTTCTTGCAGGTACGATGCACCTGATCTCATAGGGACTGTTGTAAGAGTCCACTACATTCTTTGTTTGTATACATCAAGGTCTTGTAGTGTGCCTGATTGTACCTCAATGTTGGTTACGAGGATGTTGCAATATCCTTCCTATGATAGCTCGCGGGCGTTTGCATTTGTCGTATCGTAGTCACATTCATTTTCAAGGATTAATATATTTCATCTCACATTGAGTCACTATTGACCGTACAAATGTTCTTGTAGTTTGAGTTCCCTTGTATATGATTCAAATTCTGTTCTTTGTATATGTTTGAGTCCAAGTTCAGCTCATGCTTGAGTTCAAAATTGGTATGAGTTTTCTATATTCATTCAAGTCTTCTATGGCCCTTGAAGGTTCAATCTTTGTTCAATTTATTCAAGTTCGCGTGAAGTTCCTTGCCCTTCGTTCTTTTAAATTCAAGTCAAGTCTTGTCTGCTTGAGTCTAGATTGTTCAAGTCATGTCACTTGAGCCATCATTTATTTTTTTGTTGAAGTTTAAGCTTATTTGAGTTCACTTCATTTGGTATCCAAATCAGTTCGAGTTCAAGTGCATGTCCACAATACAAATTCTTGTTCAAAGTCTTCTGATGTCATTGCAAGCTCAATTGTATGTTCAAATTGATTTGAATTTGGCTCCAATTTGATCTTATTTTACTTGGGCTTAGCCTTTTATTCATCATTTAGATTTTGTTCAGGTTCAAGTCCACAAGTCTACTGTTCATTTGAGACCAAATAAGGTTCAAGTGTGGTCTTATTTTCACCCGAAATTTCGATAGACTCCCACCTGTTTGGGGGAAACAGCGAAAAACTGGGTCTTCCCACCACGCTAAGAAAAGCGTGTATGGTAAGTGTCATCGTACACTACGACAGTATTTTTTTCGTGCCCCACCACGCTAAGAAAAGTGTGTATGGGTCTTCAAATGTATTTATTACAAAAGAAAAGCATTTGTTTCCCCGCAGGTACAAAGCCGCGTATGGGTACTTAAAGTTGTCCCAATCACGATAAGAAAAGCGTGCACCAGGCCTAGCTATCTCATCGTATGTGTCGGACCGGGTTCCCTCCTACCACGCTAAGAAAAGCGTGTATGGATGGTTGACAGGCTTATCACACACATCAAGGATAGGATTTTAGGGTCAAGGGCTGCTCACCCGTCTCGTCGTAGGTGTCGCACCAGATTCCCTCCTACCATGCTAAGAAAAGCGTGTACAGGTGGTTGACCGGCTCGTCACATACGCCGAGGGCAAGCATGCTTAATTTATAATTAATTACAAATTATTTATAATTAATTATAGTTTAACTAAATTAATTATAATTAGATTAAAAAAATTATGGGGGATTTGGGCATAATGGCTTCAGGTATGCAAGAATCAAGCACCCCGTAATCTCCTGATGGAATGAATCGTTAGTTTCCCTCATTTCTTGCCCTAAGGTCTTGTTCGACCACTAGATTTACATGATTTGGCTGAAGAAGCTCATGTAGGGGAGAAAGTTACCTTCACAGCACTCGAGCTCCCGCGGTTACTTCTAATAAAAATGTTGTAACTTCCTATCCAACAGGAAGGTGAAGTCGCCGAAAGACGAAGCCGAAGAAGCACGCGGGAAGGAAGAAGGTTACCTTCATAACGACGAGCTTCCGTCTGCTTCCGATCAAAATGTCGAGCTTCCAATCCAACCAAAAGGGAAAGTTGTTGGAGCGAAGTCAAACGGCAATGTGGGAGCCAAAGAAGCGATTGGAGGAGAGGAAGTTGCCTTCACAATCGGCGAGCTCACGTTCTTGCTCCCAATCAAAATGTCTTAACTTCCGCACCGACAGGAAGAGAAAGTCATAGATGGAGCGTAGTCGAACAGCCAATAAGGAGCCGAAGTAGCGACGCTTGCAATCTCTACACCTCTTGCGAAGCAACGAAGCCGAACAACAACGAAGAAGGGCGCGAGAGGAAGAGAGAAAGAGCGGGAGAATTCGAGAGGAAGACCCGAACACTTCGTTTCTCCGCTATGTAACGACGATCGACGACGTGCGAAGGTATGACAAGATGCAACGTCGAACGTACGTGGGATGGTGACAACGTGCGATCGGACAGGTATGAGATTTTGCGATTTTTTGTTTTGTTCGGTCCAGGGTCAACACCTGGCCACCTCATCCCAATCTCGAATGTAGCTTTGCATAGTTGGATATCAAAAAAACTTGAACAATGCAATCGTTTAAACCCTTACATCTAACTATAATTAGCTCTTATAATAGAAACTTTTCCACAAGCTTGTTGCAACCTATGTTTCTATTCATACATCCAAACATCAACTCTCCAACCATTTTCAGTACTCATCCACAAGATCAACAATAAATTGCAACCCCTCCAA